ATTCGATTTTTCCCCCCACTGATCCCTTTTCCCTAGGAGCCCCGGAGGTGAGTTTGACTTGCGGGGCGAAGCTGACATACTGACCGACTGTTGATTCGTTCCGTGGCCAGTAGTCGAAACGGACGATGCGTCGCGCCTATGGGTCGACCCTCTTGCCTCCCCCCATCCTAGACTAGCCCTCGCGGTCGTTCTGCACCAATTAAGCGCCAATTCGATTTGAATCTCGCGCGCGCGCGAGATTTCCCGACACCGACTACCTGTTCTGTGCTTGTTGAAACGTCTCGCTTTGCGAATGACTGTGAGGTCGGTCGTAGAGGTCAACAGGGCGAGCCGCTTGTGTGTCGAAGCGTGTTTTAAGTTGTAGCCTTGGGCCTAATATTGTTTAAAAGCCATCCGCCTCCTGTGTACCGCCGGCCCGCCCGCTTTCCCGCCTTTGTGAAAATTACTTTGTCCGACTGAAGCGAGCGCCGTCTCGAATCTGTGGGCTTAATCGATTTGCGTAACTCCCACTAGTTAAGTTGGACTTGCCTCGGCGCCGCGCCTGTTTCAATGAGGTCCATCAGCAGTCCTCCTCGATTTCCCTCTCGTTATTTGCGTCCCCTCTAGTCTCTCCCTCGTCCCTCGTTCCACGGTTATGCCCATCTCAACCTTTTTCTCTTGAGCGAGCAACTACATTAGTCGGCAACAATAGCGGCAGCGGGACCAGCAGCAGCTTTGAACGAAGATGTGTGATTAGTTAGTAGCGAAAGTTTTAATACAAATTACCATGAAGCCGATTTCGGCGCGCACTCGCCGTGCAGAGTCGATCGCGACTCTGTGTAGGGCACGTACGCATCTCCAGCCGGCGTGCTTGCCTTCGGAAACTATTCACCCGGAGCTCGAACCTCGGAAATGGGAAGGCGGAGGCCGAGCTCCGAAGAGGAGTGACGGAAGAGGATCGACCACATTCAGAGAAATCGAAACCGTTGAATTCGGAATGATTTGAAGATTCAAGCAAGGTCCCATCTGGAAGCGAGTGTATGGGAAGACGACGATTGGCGGTATTCCTTTCCCTGAGAGTTGACGTTCACCGATTCCATCGAGGTCTTTCGCGTGACTCCCGGTCAAAATCCGACTTCGTACTCGCCATAGAGCTCCCGAAGCGAAAGTCACGCCCACGTTGTGCTCAATCGAGTTGGGCCGATTTTTTTCAGGAAATTGGAGTTGACGAATGAGTTCAAGTAGCAGGCCTCGGAACCGACATTCAATTTCAACGAACTCGTTCCGTGCACCCCCGCGAGTCTCCGAAATACAGATTTTGTGTCAATGCGGAAATTGCCAAGAAACAAAATAGGTCATATTTTTCACTCTTGTTCCGCTGTAGCGCTCGATAGCGTACACATTATTCTGGAGAGCAATCAAAAGAGACAAGAAGGACTCCTCCTACTGTGTCACACCTAGATAAGGATTTGAATCAAGTTTTCGATATCCTGGAGCGAGGATATCCCTAATCGAAGTCCTGGCGGGAATGCCCGAGGAGATTCGATGCATCGGAGATAGATAAGGCAGATCTGCTTTTACTCTTCGGAATTTCCCTCGACCATTGTCACTGGGTCGCTCCGAGCCGCGGTCACAGAACTGTTGCGTGTTTTAATCTTTGTTGAGTTCTTCCCCGCCACCCAGACTGAGCCTTTCCAATGCTCTCATCTCCTCCGTCCTCGTTTCGGGGCGAGCGGCGCCCCGTCGTCGTTGTTTCCCCTCTTTGAATCCCCGCCCATTTCATGCCCCTTTCGTAGGCAAATGGTGCGTGCAGAGACGCATTGCAGAGGAGTAATAGACATGGTAGGCGTGAGGAGGAAAGCGAGCCCCAGGAGCAGCAGAGCTTGCCGCCGAGTTGTTGTTGCCTGGCGCACGACTAAACAGGAAAGGGACCACGGGGGAAGCGGAAATGATGAACACATCTTCCTCACTCCATCAGAAATAGACATCCACATAGAACACTCTCCTGAACAGACGCACCCAGATAGGAATACCGAAAGAAAGGAACACGACAGCTGACGACAGCGGCAGAAGGGATTTTTTTTATAATCTTCCCTGCGAGAGATCGAGAGTCCCTTCCGAACGGCGCAGATGAGATGGCCTATTCCCTCGCTCGCAGACCGGAGAAGGAGATAATCTCCATGATTCTCGCCCTATAGAGCCGTACTTGGATTCATTCTCGAAGTCCGTAGGCATCTCGAGAGCCATTTGCGATATTCTCTCCGCTTGTCCGATGCTCCCTTCTCACTTCCTCGACTCTTGTTAATCGTCTCGTGGATTTCTTGTCGATTGTGGCGTGTTTCTCAAACTCGTCCGGCTCCGCGTGGTGGTCGATAATTATTTCGATGGAGCCCCGGTCCATCGTCAGTCGCTTCAATTAGTCTTGAACTGTTTAACAAACTTCATTCAGATTAACAGACAGGGAACCTCATCGAAGGGTGATTAACGCTTTTTTGTATGCTGTTCCATTTCTCTTCATTTGTCTTCAACGAATCCTCACTCCACATCGCTCCGGCCCCTCCAAGCCGCGCAAGGAGCAAATCGCTCACGACGAAGAGCTCCCATCACTCGAAAACCCCGCCCGATCGCGGGCCGGCAAATGAGGCTCAACATTTGGGAAATCCACGAGGTTGGAAATCGTTGTACCTATATACCTCGGGAGGCTCGTCGACGCAAAGAAATTTGTCTCCCAATGGAACTAGGTCGGGAAGAGTTGTGAGATCCCGATTTTCTTGTTTTGACCGGGAGGAAAAACGAGCTCCAACGCTGAATATCGGATTTTTAATCGGGGGTCGAAAACTTCCTTGGTCCGAAGTTGACCCGCTGGGTGAGAGCTCCCACCGAGAAGAATTCCTAGAGGAAGAGTTATCAGCGGGCAAGCGATCGTTCAGAGGAACGAACGAGCCAGGAGACAGGATTGGGAGGCAACTCGGGAGAATCGGCCGGGCGAACGAAGAGAAAACTACTGCCGCTCCTCATGCCGAGGTGACATCACATCCTGATAAATCAAGGCGAGTTTCTGTCCGACGACCAGACGGGAGGGAAGACACACAGACCGAGAGAGTAATTCATCTTCGTCCACTGCAGCGTAAGACAGCGAACGGAGTTCATTCTACACCATGAGAAAAAAGTCCCATGATTCAATTCCGAATCGGAGAAACCAAAACAGAGACTGGGACGGACTAAGGTAACCGGAGAGAGCGAGCAGGAGTACGGAAACGAGAGCGAGCGACGAGCGAGTCGGGAGAGGAAGTCGAGCAAGTGGGCTGAATAGAAAAAACAATGGTTTCGTATTTAGTTCGTTAATGGAGAGACGGCGAAACGCTGTATAATTGGGTTAGTATTATTTCCCTCTCCGTCTTAGTTTTCGTTGTTGTCGTTGTTCCCAGTGGAGCCCGTATCGGCTTTGATTGAATACGCTTCCAATCTCGCTCTTCCTCCGGGCTCCGCCGTTCCGAGCTGGTTTCCCCTCGCTATGCTCAGCTGACTCCATCGATTCTTTCCTCCTCAATGATGTGCGAAGGAGATTTTCGTCTGCCATGCTTTCGACAAACGAGTTGTGTTTCGCGAATGGGCTTCTGTCGCGTTTTAGGACCATCCCGAGCTCGACTCAAGATACCTGGTGTTCCTTCGTCGTTCGACGTGCTTCAGGAGCACCTCACCTGATCGGGGAATTTCGAGGAGGGAAAACGTTGCTCTCCCTCCCAACCGGATCCTTGCTCGACTTGAAATACCTGGCGTCCCTTCTGTCTCCTCGTTCTTCCTCGTCGAACTCCGTCGGATCCCGATCTCCCGTATGGCTGCTAATGAGCTAATTGCGAGCGGGAGTTCGTGGTTTTATCGTTTTGGGCTGGCGTATGGTTTTCAATTGTGTCCGTCTGATTGTCGCCTGATCCTCGTCGCTGCTGTATCCATCGTTTTCAAACCCGATTTGAAAAAAATGGGCTCTTGCTAAACGCATTAGACTTGCTTAAATGAATAATTGCAATACTCCGCGATGCTCTCCGAGATCGTCTTCCACCTGCCGGCTGCTAGATGATCGCGGGAAGGATGTGGGGGAGGAGGTTCTCGCTTCGTTTTGTGAAAAGAGGATTTGTAGGTGGGTGTTTCACTGAGTCGATGGTAGAGAACGGGAAAATGGAGGGCAGGGGAGCGGTCATACCGACCGACGTTCGGCTGTAGTATGGGGAAACTGGGAGAAAAGCGCCGAGCCGATGCAAATTGACGCTTGCCCGTTTTTG